ACAAGTTTAAAAGAATTAAAAACATAAAAGAGATATTAAAGGCAATGTTGTTTAAAACTGGAAATGCCCCTTCCGTCATTTATGTGACATTAGGTGGAATTTCCCAAATGGAAAAACAATTTCAGCCCATTTAAATGAAAGAATAAATATCTGCGTTGTTACTTTAGTTTATGGCACCAAATCGCACAGATCTGCCAATTTGACATTTAGGAATTGATAAAACCTCCGGTTTTCTTTAAATAACCTTTGTCTTAGCAGGTTAAGTACCACGGTTAACATCGGGCATAAAATAAATTTTCAAGTTCGGCTAAATCTGTTTATTAAAACACTCGCGAGCAAATTACTATCCCTTCCATGAAAAAGTTGCTCAGATGCGTAACCGGGGCCTAGAACATGTATTAACATAGGAAATTGCACGAATATATTCCAACGTCCATTTTCGCTAAAATTTACTGATATTTTACTTGATTAATTGCGTAAACACAATTTCTGCACAAGAAAAGGGCATCTAAATGACGGGACTGAATGAGCGAACAAAGTGCGCAGCGTTAAAAACGTCCAGAAATTCTCCCACCAGTTTCCGTTATCAGATGTCATGAGATAGATCACGTAATGTATTCCTTCTTCCTAACCTGGCAGTACAAATCAGTTTGCAGACGGAAATGGTAGTGAAATGGGTTGGCAGTTCTCTACATGGGATGTGGTTGGAAACCTATTGAGGTTGCTCAAAATTTCGAAAAATTTAGACAGGAGGTCAGACGCTCTTAATTTATTTCGGGGTGTGGACTGGAGACGTTTTAAAAACAACCGCTGTTCGTGATTAAGTGAAGGATAGCAAACCATGCGCTTCAACCGATGGTGGTAACGCTTATGATGTTGTGCACAAAGTGTTCGGCGGCATGCCCAAGACTTCGGTACCTAGTAGAGAGCCGTCCATAGAGAAATTCAATTTTTGTCAATACCATGCTACTCAGTTGAAGAAACTTTGGTTCACTTCTACCGATCAGCGAGAAAAAGTCATTCGTGGATTCTGTCATTAGGGGAACTAAAAAATTCCTCTTTGACGATGAAAACCTAACACCGAATTTCAGGCCTCAACATCTCAGACCAGGAGCATGTTCCCTCGCAAACGATGAAGTTCATCGCATAAACCACGTAGTGAGTGCAAGACCGATGGCTTCTGTGTGTGAGTTAGTTTAAAGTAAGACAGACTTGCGAGGCATCTATCGCGCTCTCTCCTCCCCCACTCACCAGGTGACGATGGCAGAGCTGCCAAAATGACCGAATGCGGGTGCGTAAACGGTGGTTGACAAAGTTAAACAGCTCGTGCAAGCATGCAACATATGACCTGGTCCCCAGAGCATGTACCGGCCTACTGTAAAAATGACTTGGATCTCACACGCGTGAGAATGTTGTAAAGGCCATATTAAGGAGTCCTTACAACCAGACTTCCGGTTCTGACCGGGGCCGAGTGATGCGGCCAGTTGGCATGTAGAGCCTCAAACGATAATAAGCCTTCTGACTCTGGAACCCACGCCGCGTTGGTAGTCATGTGATCACGACTCCCCACCTCCAGACTGTGAGCACAGTCAGGCCCCGAGGATAGCCAATCACGGGCGTCCATAAACGCAATCATCACCAAATCAACTGACCAGGTTGACACTGACTGACTCCCATGTGCCGCTTATGCACACACGCCCACGTCACTCTCGACACTCGCTCAATGGCGACTTACGCTCAAAGTTAGTTACAATGAGGGCAATCGACTGATGATGAAGCTTGACATAGTTGATAGAAGCGAACAGGCGAGTTCCAGGAAGCAGTTCAGAAGACGAAAATGCGATCACTGGAACAAGAAATTTATTGGCCGCACGCTTCTGACACTCGAACTTATCATCAGAGACCGTCACAGATAAGGATCGGATCTGGTGCAGTTGCAAACAACGTAACTACGTCGGAGAAACTGGGGATTACTCAGGACGCCAATTGCCGAGCACGCAGCAGCAGTGAGGCGGGGAGACGCTAGCTCTCAGATGGCGGCTCATTCGACAGGACCCGGCCATGTTTTCAAGTTTCAAGAGGCCGAAATCCTCGCAAAGAGTGAAAACTGCTGAACTGCGAGCTGCTCGAGTCATGGTTCCCAAGCCCGCAGCCCATCAACAAGCGCAATGACCTCCCGTTATCGTATTCCGTGCTAAGATTTTTCCAGGACAAAGGAATCAGCCATGTATGGGGAGGCGGGTGGGCGGGCGAGCAATTATCCCAGTGGCGGTGAGTCAATTTGCCAAGCCATCGTCACACCATCATCCTGCACGGATGACGAAATCCTGGCCATTAATGACTCGGACGCAGATTTGCAAACCACAATCGTCTTGAAGAAGGAGACACGATCGATAGGACAAGAGCTTTATAGGCCTGACGTTTCGGATTCCCACTCGAGCCTCTCATCAGAGACAAAAGCAGATACGGGTGGTTCATGCACAAGGGACTGCAGTATTTATAGGATGCAGTAGCCATGCTACCACATGCCTATAAACATTCATGACTCCCCGCTTCATCCAGGATCGTCGCGCTTGCCGGCCTGATTGTTTGTTGGCCAACTTTCGCGTCGTTAATTGCTGCAATTTCATCACGTGCGTTTCATGTTGGTGTGATGATGGCTCGACCATCTGACGCGCTGACCCCGCTGTTGGGAAAAGTGTTCACTTGTGCGCTCCCCGCGTGGCTAACTACTGCGCCTAGGCAAAGTCTCGACACGGAGTATGGGATCAGGAGTTTGACATTCAAAGAACATCTCAGCGCCGTCTTCCCGGACATTCAATTTACGATGGAGAAGGAAGAGAACAACCAGCTGGCCTTCCTGGATGTCCTCGTATGATGCAAAGATTGCGGTGGACTAAAGACCAATGTGTTCAGGAAAGCGACAAATGCGATGCAAGTACTGAACTTCAACACCAACCACCCAATCAGCCACAAACGCAGTTTTGTAAGGACGCTCTATCGGCGTGTCGAAACGCACTGCAGTGAGTCGGAAGACAAGACTGCCGAACTACAATAACTCCGACCGGTTTTCAAAGCCAATGGCTACCCGCGCAACTTCGTCAACCAGTGCATACGCAAAAGGGACCAAAGGCCTAGCCGCACGGACACCAAAGTTTGGCGAGTGCTTCCGTATGTCAAGAACGTTTCGGAAGCTGTCGGCGGCCTTCTCGCACCACTTGGGGTTGGAGTTGCACACAGACCGGAGGCAACCATCGGGCGTCAGGAAATGAAAACGAAAGACCCACTGCCACAGCAAGAAACGTCTGGAATCGTTTATCGGATCTGGTGCAGTTGCGGATAAAGCAACTACGTCGGAGAAACCGGAAGACAGCTCCGAACGAGAATGGCCGAACACGCTGCGGCGGTGCGGAGAAATGACGCCAGCTGTCAAGTTGCGGCTCATTCGACGAGATCCGGCCACACATTCAATTTCGGCGAGGCCGAAATTCTCGCATTAGGTGACAACCGCGTGATCCGAGAGCTACTTGAATCATGGTTTACTGGCCCCCAATCCGTTAAAAAGTGCAATGAACTTCCCGTCCCATACTCGACGCTGAAACTTCGCCTAGGCGGAGTAGTTAGCCACGCGGAGAGCGCCCAAGTGAACACTTTTCCCAACAGCGGGGTCAGCGCGTCAGATGGTCGAGCAATCATCACACCAACACGAAACGCACGTGATGAAATTGCAGCAATTAACGACGCGAATGTCGGCCATCAAACAGTCAGCACATCAAGTGCAACGATCCCTGATGAAGCGGGGGAGCTATGAATATTCATAGGCATGCAGTAGCATGAAGACTGCATCCTATAAATACTGCAGTCCCTTGTGCATGAACCACCCGTATCTACTTTTGTCTCTGATGAGAGGTTCGAGTGAGAATCCGAAACGTCAGGCCAATAAACTTATTGGTCCAGTGATCCCATCTTGCTCTTCTATTCGGCATAATATCTAATGCCCGCCATAGTCTCTGTCCGACGCCAGCCACGTGCATGCACGACGAAAGTTAAGTATGCGGGCATAATTGGCATGACATATGCAACCCCTGCAGGACGTCGGTGCGGTCCCCGCAGCGGAAAGCGTGCGGGTTTTGTGGGGTAACAGAGAGTTCGTCTGCTCTCACTGTCTTCTGCCTCTGACATCCGTGCCACGCTAAGAGTCATGCGATCACGTCTCCCGGACTCCGAGAATAGCCAATCACAGGCGCCCACTATCACCCAATCAACTGACCGGGCTGACGATGACTGACTCCCACGTGACGCTTATGCACTCACGCCCACGTCACCCTGGCGCACGGACGTTCGCGGGCCCTCAGCCCCCCCCGTCGTGAGTTCTGACAGTTGCCAGACTTCTGTACAGTACTCCTACTGGTGTTTCTTTCCCCTTTCTCCTCTAAAGGGGGGCTGGACCGTGATTATTATGGCGCGCTGAGTGCAATCTCACTGCTTAGACACCACAGATGAACAATTGGAAGGAATGTGAAGAAGGAGACACGATCGCTGGGTCGTAACGAACGCTTGAGCAGAAGGTGCCTCCAACGACAGACATTGATGGGGACGGAAAAAAGTAGGAACTGAGTTGACCTGCCCGAGGAGGAAACCTAGTCAGATTCTTTTCGCAGAATACGCATATCAAGTTTCAGCAGCCAGAGTGTCTGCTATGGCCTGATTTGCTCAAGATCGTCAAGAACATGCACGGAGCTGTGAACCCTGTCGTGTCAGACTGACGACGGGCAGCCATACAGTAAGGACGTGTACCATTCAACACGATTGCCACTTTGTTACATTTCAAATATAGCAAAGTTGAGTTCTCAATGCACCACCACCTGATTGGTTTAAACGTAGTCTCACTAGTGAGTCTCCCCCCGTTTTGTTTTCTGAGGGCGCGAGAGGAAGAAACGAGTTACGACGGCTCGTGTTAGTTTGGTCAGCGGACTTCCTGAGTTGCCACTCGGAGTGGCATGCTGTACAACGCGGTTGAGTGCCAGAGGGTGAAAGTAAACAACACAGAGGGCGACCTGCAGCCGGGTTGGTGGAATCCACCAGCTTCCGAGAAGTGCCACCTGCAGCTGCCCGATGCATTCGGTCAATTAAGGTGTCATCAAATGAGCTCCTGTGAGCACTTTCGAGAATTGAGCAGCTGGGATTCAGCCGTGGCAAAACGCATGAGACTTCCTAAAGTAGCATGTACAATTCGCCTCATCACACTACTGACTGTCTGCTTTCTTTGGCTTCGCAATTTTACCTGGGAGCTGAATCCACGTCGGAGCCATGCGGAGACTGTGACATTCCATTCCCCGTCCACGATCGAACTGGGAACGTCCAACATCCACGCGCTTCTCAGACAGGCACGTCTCTCTGTCAACGAACTGTGGAGGTTGAATAATGCCTACTTCCCCGCACGTAGTCGCACCTCCCCATCAGCCGGGCGTCTAAACAGTCTCCTGTCTCAAGCTACACTTCAACTCACGGCCATACTGGCTCTGCTCGACAAAGTCAGTGGTTGGCGTGAGGGAAGGCGTCAGAAAGTGGATGCCCAGAGTTCACATTTGCGGCGCCACATTACGAGGCTACAGAATCCTCCTGACTGTCGTCGATCTCGCTTTGCTCTGGCAGAACTGCGTTACAGCTGTGGGTTTGGATGTGCCGCACATCACATGGCTCTGAAATTCTCATTTGCCTTCGCAACCAATCGCAATCTGCTGCTGCAGTACAATGACTTGAAAGACTTCTTCCTGCCGCTCTCTAACTGCTCGCTGAAGCACGCCGAAGGACAGCCGGGAGTTCCTCGTCTAGAAAATGGCCTTCCACACACCGGCAAGCGTTATTATGCACCGGCTATGCCACGTCAGTGGTCAGAGCATCTACGTGAGCCGCTAGGAGACCCCTTTCCGTGGTATCGTGGACACCTGTTGGGCTACATTTTTCGTCCAAGAGATCCATCCTTACGCCATGAACTAGAAGTGGAGCTGAAGAATATGAGGAAGTGTTCTCACGGCGAGCCATATGACGGACCGATGGCTAGTATACATGTTCGTCGGACTGATAAGCTCCTTTCTGAAGCCAAGTTCCATTCAGTGGATGAATATATGCTCCACGTTGAACACTTCTTCGATCTGAAGGAGGTTTAATACAGTTTGGAGACTGGAAGTGCAAGTCCACCCTTATGGTCTAGACGACGACGTGTCTTCTTGACCTCCGATGATGCGTCGGTTTTCGAGGAGGCCAGATTGCGGTTCCCGAGATAAGAGCTTGTTGGTCGACAGAAAAATGGAAGTTTTTATGCGAATCGCTGGTCTGCGGCAGGCCTGATTGCCATCGCTGTGGATTTGCACCTTTTGATTGCGGCCGACTTCCTCGTCTGTACGGGCAGCTCCAACGTTTGCAGGCTCGCCTACGAACTCCTCTAGACAATGTCTCAAACACACGGAGATGCAGGATTTCAAATGCAATCAGTGGATCAGATGTATGAATGCACTCATACGAGAAAGCGTTGGTGGCGAGCCATTGCGGACTTCAAGCAAGAAGGTATCAGACTGGGCGATCATGTTGCTATCTTATCAACACAGTGCGATTGGGAAGTTGAACACAACTCGTGAGATTACATTGCCGTCTTATCTATTTGAAGAGATTGTGCAAACTATCTAGCGATGGTCTGTCGCATTTTCAACTTATTCCGTGGGCAAAATATCAGAGATTTGTGCTGATCTTATTTTTCCGCGCATGGCCTGTTATGCAGTCTGGCGTGCTCCTTGAAGATCCAAATAAAACGATGTGGCATGTAGCGCCTGGTTCTTTAAGGCTAACTGTGAGTCTGTCTGATTGCGTTTAAAAGTTCTGGTGATGAAATGTGTGTGCCAATTCGAGCTGCGCAATGTCGAATTCTTTTGTGATTTCGTCTGCCAGCGCTGTCATAATGAAATTTATTAAGCTGGCGACTCTACGTCCCCTGTGCATGCAGTTGAGTATAACTGAAAACGATATCTTTATAAGACCGTACAGATGCATCGGGATGGTATGGTTGAGGAGACAAAGGTTGCCAAATCAGAAGTCAGGGAAGACGGCTTGGGTTAGACAACTCTTACTGCTGAGAAGGTGCGTACGCAAAGGCTCTGAAAGCAGTCGCCGCGAGCGGTCTCTCCAGGCAATTTGTATTTTCTGTGTCCGCCGTCGGGGTTCTCCGCCCCCGGCGCGTGTGTGCACCCTTCGCTCTGTCCCAGTTAGTATCCGTCAACCAATCAGAAAAGGGGCGGCGCTGATTGGCCCTGAGCACCCGCGAGGCTAGTGTCAAGCCTCGCGCGTCCCAGCAGCGGATAGGCAGAGAAGATGAGGTGGACAGGAGGGCAGCAGGACAAAGCAGCGGAGAGCAAGGAGGCGCGGACTGCCACAGAGGAATCGTACCCAGCGGAGCGGTAAACTTTATCTGCATCGTCTTAGTAGTCATGCTCGACGCATTTTTCAAAAGCCAGAATGCATGTGACGAATTTTGACATTTGCCCTCTATCTGCGTTAATGGGAGATCGTCTTTCCGTGGACTGGCAGTTTAAAAAAGAGGGCATTAATGTTTGTTTGCGTCTGCTATGCCATGATCGGCATGGTTCCCGCAGGCACCTGGTTTTCCTCCGATAGATGCGCTTGCGCTCCTGCTGGGTACACAGGTCGTGTGTATATGGTTGCCCGGTCATCCTCCTCTTTCTGATCAGTTGTTGTTTTGTTGTTGGTTAAAATCCTGATCAGGTGTTTTTTATGGACTGGGCGGCATGATGGCACGCCTAGGTGCGGGTTTTGCCGCGCCAGCCACCTGTGTCCTCCCCACCTCCGGTCATCTTAACTATGACTTGACAATGGGCCCAAGTTAGGAGGAGGAGCGAGTGTAGTGGATGCCGCACAAGTCTGCTTTCACTATAAACAAACTCACAGTGCTAGTGGAGCACAATTTGGACACCGCCGCGCACGAAGGCCGAACTATCGATGCAGAAACGACAATCGAGGCAGATGCTAACCCCCTTCTTGTAGACGACGAATCCACATATAACCCCAGAAAGGTTTGGGACTGCGCTGTAGCCGTTATGGGCATTGGGGAATTTCTATGAGAAGAGTCTGTGATATGTCGTTTGAGGACCGCACATACAGCCATACTGGGAGCATCGGACATGTGTGAGTGTGTGTGAGAGAGAGAGAGAGAGAGCGAGGTGGGTATGTCGACATGAAAGTGATACCGGCGAGTGATATCAGCCAGAGGGGCGTTTAGCTGCTCACATGGCGTGCTGACTGCTGGTATATGTTCGAATGTAGACCTGAAATCTGAGAGGTGACTCGTCAGCGGGAGGATAGTGTTGACACAGTTCGGAAGCAACTGGCGACAGATGTTCACCGAACAGAGGAGTTGGCATGGTGGACAACCAAAGATTCCCATAACAGAAGTCAGGGAAGCTGGAGGGGGTTAGACAAACTTACGGACGTGTAATATCGTTCAAGTATCCTGCAAGTAGTTGCCGCAAGCTGTCTCTCTAGGCGAGTTGTCATGTCCGTGTCCGCCGTTGAGACTATTAGCCGCCAGCGCATGCTTGTCTTTCGATCTGCCTCAGTTAGTATCCGCCAACCAGTCAGAGAAGGGGCAACGTTGATAGGCTTCGTTCTCATGACGTAAGTTATGCCGTTCCCGCGAACTAACGAACTACGGCTTACTAACCAAGATCAATCCCGTGTGAGAGGTGAAACGCCGAGAGGGAAGGTCTGGACAGCATGTCGGCCACCGCATTCTTCGGGCCATCAATGTGGCGGATGTCGGTGGTGAATTGCGAGATGTAATCCAAATGAGAAATCTCTCTCGGGTTATATTTCTCAGAATGGGATCGGATGGCAAATGTAAGTGGTTTTTGGTCTGTGAAAATTGTGAAGTCACGACCCTCAAGGAAGTGTCGGAAATGTTTTACGGCCAGGTAAATGGCAAGAAGTTCACGGCCAAACGTGCTATATTTCGTCTCGACAGGTGAAAGCTTCTTGGAGAAGAATGCCAACGGTCGTGCCGAGTTGTTGATATGCTGTTGGAGGACTGCTCCTACGGCAACGGTCGAAGCATCAACCATCAGGGACAATGGGGCTTCTGGAGCAGGATGAGTGAGCAAGGTAGCATCAGCAAGGGAGGTCTTTATTCTCTCAAAAGCAGTCAGCGCGTGGCCACGTAACTCAAGGGGACCCTTGGGACCAGAGAGCAAGTTGGTGAGTGGCAGCATAAGGTCGGCACAGTTCGGCAGGAACCGGCGATAAAAGTTTACCATGCCAAGGAAACGTTGCAACTGACGCATGGAGGTTGGTGGAGGAAAGTCACGAATGGCCTCAACCTTGGAAGAGAGGGGACGCAAACGCTGTGCATCGACATGGTGACCAAGAAAATCAAGGGACGGCACACCCAGAACACACTTCGAAGGGTTAATGACCACGCCAAACTGATCAAGGCGGTCAAACACTAAGGTAAGATGCTCTTTGTGTTCCTCGGCATTTCGACTGGCCACCAAGAGGTCATCGATGTAGGCGTACACAAACGGCAGAACACGTAGGACTCGGTCAATGAACCTCTGAAATGTTTGGGCAGCATTGGACCTAATGGCATGCGAATAAATTCAAACAGGCCGAATGGTGTGGTGACAGCAGTTTTGGGAACATCATCAGGAGCGACAGGAATCTGATGGAAGGCCCGAACAAGGTCAATCTTCAAGAAAACCGATTTGCTGAAAAGAGCTCCAGCAAAATCTTGAAGATGGGGACGGGATAACTATCCGGGATGGTCGCATTGTTGAGGGCGCGATAGTCACCACAGGGCCGCCAGTCGTCTGATGTCGCCTTGGGCACCATATGCAGAGGGGACGCCCATGGACTCCCGGACGGGCGAATTATGCCCAGTTGCAGCATGTGCTCAAATTCGGCCTTCGCCGCTTGCAGACGGGACGGAGCCAGTCGTCTAGGCCGTGCGAATACTGGGGGGCCAGAGGTGCGAATGTGGTGGACAACGTCATGTTAGATCTCACCACTGCGAAACTGGGGTTTGATTATGTTGGGGTGTTGGAGGAGCAGGTCTCGGTATGGGCAAGCAATACCTGTGTCCAGAACAGATAAATTGCAGGAGTCGTTAAAGGATGCAAGACTGCGCACAGAAAGACCAGTTGTGCGGTCGAGGAGACAGGAACGCCGACAGTCAACAAGGAGATCAAACTCGGCTAGGAAGTCGGAACCAAGGATCGCATGAGGCACATCGGCAATCACAAATATCCAGGAGAATGATCAACGTAAACCAATGTTTAGCGTTAGGGAACGACTTCCAAAAGTAGAAATGGGGGAACAGTTTGCAGCTTGGAGATGTAGACCAGGGCTGGGACAGCGGCGGTCAACTGGAGTGGGGGAACCACGCTGATCTGGGCTCCGGTGTCCACCAGGAAAAGCCTGCGAGTCACATTGTCGCAGACATAAAAGGTGCGACCAGAGGTGGGAGAGCCAGAGAAAACGGTCGCGTCTATTCTCTGGCTGGCTGGTTTCCCTGTTTCGGTTTAAATAAACAAGGAGAAGAACATTTGCGAGCTTTGGCGGCAAAGTTTGCGTGATACCAACACAAATTGGCTGTGCGAGGTCGCGAACGTGAACGATGACGGCTGGGTGAGCGACTACAGGTAATGCGAGCAAGCTGTAGTTTTAGGGAGGCTATCTCATTCGCCATAGCCGACATCTGTTGCAGTAACTGCTCGTTAACCGTTGAAGAGGATGTGGAAATCTGAGCAACGGAAGGTGGCTGGAACCGTTGAACCTCTATCATTCGGTCTGCCATTTCAGCAAGATGTGAAAGTGTAAGGTCTTGCGAGCCGGATGCCAAAATCGTTTGGACATCTGCAGGCAGCCGCTCTAGAAACATCTCTCTAACGAGTTTCTCGTCGACCTGCATGTCTCCTAAGAGAGTACGCATTCGTCGGAGAAGTTCTGAGGGCTTCTGGTCGCCCAGTGATTCCTCCTTGATCAACTGGTGGTAGCGTTGTCGGTCAGATACAGCATTGAGACGAAGGATTTCCGCCTTCAGAGCAGAATAGGGAGCGTCTGCAGGGGTTTCACTAACAAGGGTTGAACTTGTGAGATAATATTGGCAGGGAGAACCTCCACAAGTTTGTGGTATTTCGACAACTCCTTCGTAATGTTGGCGGAGTAAAAGGCTGACTCAATGCGGATAAAATAAAGTTCAGGGGCGTGTTGCCAGAAATCAGGCAAAGTGAAATGGACGGCATGAACAGACTCGGCAGGAACGTCAGGTTGTTGAGTTGAGGAAGACATAATAAGCAAAATATAGGTAGCACAATATCGTGATAAAGGTTAGCTGGAAATGTAAATGAAGTAAAATTTAGCAAATAAATACAGGACGTTAAATGTCATTAAATGTTACGGAAGGGAAGAACTTAAATCTGCGCTAACGTCGGGAGTCACCAATGACGTCAGTTATGTCGTTCCCGCGAACTAACGAACTACGGCTTACTAACCTCCTAAACGGAGAGAGGTAAGGAAGGCCAGTAAGTGAATAAAGTTAATATTCATAATGTGCAACGACCTGACCAGAGAGCATGCAAGCGGCGCGAAGCTTACAAACGGCAGAGTCTTCGTCACGTTAAAACAAATGTTACAGTAAAACAAACGTGAAAAGATTGTCGAAGGTCAAGTAGTCAAGTACTTCAGCACACTCACGTGAGGCTAGTAACAAGCCTCACGCGGTTTATGCAGCAAGTCGACAGGAGGACACGTTGATTAGGTAGTTTGCACATTTGGTCCGTGTTTTGTTGCTCACTCCCAAGTTGGAGTTTTAAAATATATAAGTGTTTTCACTGATGCTTCGTTCCACTTTTCAAGGTCACGAAGACCGGCGTGTTACGCATGCTGGCCGCTCAAATAGTTCTGACCGGTGTCAGTGGCGGCTAAGACCATAAAATGAGCCGCAACGGGACATCTTATATGTCCCTCCACTCCCGGCAGGAAACGGGAAAAGGACCGTCTCCAATCATACAGGTGGTTTTACGCCAAATCTAGGAAGTGTACCTAGTCCTGTGTCCTAACTCAAACACTACCCCTAACCCAAACCTTATGCGTAGCTCTAATCATAAATTTAACAGCAACCTCAATCTAGACTTTGATTCACTTGGAATTCAACACAAAACCACCAGTGCTATGGGCCGTTCCCAATCCCCTATCTTGCGGGAGGAGTCCATATATGAAATCCCCACTCAAACCGCTCTTAATAACCTTTATTGCCCGTTAACAAAGACAACGCATCATCATTGTAGTCGTCATCGTCATCATCATCAAGCGCATCTACCGCCAGAGAATCAAGTACCGGAGAAGTGACAGCGCACACCAGGCTGCGAGGGTCATGGTTTGCTGATAATGGCGCAACAGACGCTCAGAAACCTGGGAATCCAGAAGGGTGGCATGTAGACCTGCATTTGCTATGGCCATCACCCTTCAAAGGCTGGGTAACCAGTCGGTCGGCGACTGAAAGGCACTACACATTAAGTAACAAACACTCTTAACATGCGTGAGAGTGCTACAGGTCGCTTTGAGAAGGAACCGTGGCAGCTTTGTTGCCAGCACTACTACTACTACTACTACCAACATAATCACTGCATTAAAATGGTGCATTTTCATATTTTGCAAGAAACGGAGAGTACCTAGCCAAGACTGCCCTAAGTGCTCAGACCCTATTAGCGTTTCCGGCCAAATGTACCCAAACCCAGGCCTCTGCCGCACTTAACACAGATTTTGATAAACTGGAATTAAAATCTTCCAAGACAGTTGACATTGACGCTCGCATCAGGCCTGCGTCTCAGTGAGGGAGCATTGGACTTAACCGTTAACGGCCAAATTTTAGATTATGCATACCTGGGATTGAACGTGATTGGTCGACAGAGGTTAATAAGTCAGAATTAGCGCAGGAAGAGACACGATCGTTGGAACAAGAGTTTTATTAGCCTGGCCTTTCGGATTTTCACTCGACTCTACCATCAGAGAACAAAAACCACACTAGGGTAGTGAGCCGCATAGATGTTGCGGTATTTGTAGGATTAAGTTGCTATGCAACTGCTTGCTTATCAAAATTGGCAGCCCATGAATGCATTGCAGAAAGTTGCAAGTTGTGTAATATTTGTCAAACTGGCTAGATGCTGCAGCACAAAGTTGTCATGCGTCTGCTTCTCTGTCGGAATTATCGACTGCTGCATTCAACGCGGGTGGTTGCATGTGGTACGATAATTTACCGATTGTCTTCAGTAGAGTTTCTAAATGCCGGAATTTCATCACTCATGAGAGTTCCTGGGCCATTTAGTTCGCCGAGACTGGCACCAGAAACAGTGATCATCCGCGTGCTCTCTGTGTGGCTAATTACTTTGCCTGAGCAAAGTTTATGCACAGAATATGGGGCGGGAAAGGGGGGCAGTACGAATTTTAATCGACTGAGAAGCCGAAACTCACAACTTGAGCAGTTCACGGCTCATGCGCTTATCTCACCTCTAGCAAGAATCTCGGCCTAATAAAACTTGAATGTGTGGTTGGATGTTGTCGAATGTGGGGCTTCTTGTGAACCGGTGCCACTCCTCCTCGCCCATATATATTTGGAAGTAGATGAGGTTCTTTAGCTCGGTTAGCAGACTGTAGACGATACTCCTCTTGTGAGAGATGCAATAATCACTCTCGAAATGTAGTATGACCTCTGAGTATGTTTCTTTGCGATAAACGGAAGTGTGATAGGATCAATCAGTTTTCCGACACACGAGTACATCCAGAAATGGGAGTTGTCCATTAACTCTGTTTTGAAAGTTAATATAATTCCTGGCCAGACTGAAAAATCTGTCTCAACCCGCATACATGAGCATCAGTTAGCGGCGAGGAAACGAGACCAGTTATCCCAGGCGGCTATGGATACACTGGACACTGGGCAGAAATTTGCATGGAAGAACACTCGCATTGTTGGCGCCTGGTCAATAAGGAATGACCGCGAATTCCTGGAAGCAACGCAGTCAGATGAGGAATGCATCAATCGGCATAACGATTTAGATGCCACACACAGGTTTCTCAAGGACAAATGGAGGGGAGCGCAGCCAATCCGAATGGGAGACGCATTGCAGTTGACTCGTATTGGCGCAGGCTTCGGCCAACCGAAGAATCACTTGTTCGACACGGTTAAATAGATAACTTTTTCGTATATAACCCAGAAGTCAGACGACGAGCTGGAGAACCAGTCTCGGAAAATTACGCAGCAAAGATTATTTTATTCTCGAAGCATCTTAACTATTTTCAATTAAATTTCTTGAGATGCCCGTTTTCCAATTCATACGCATGCATATATGAATTGGAGCGCAGGCATCCCAAGACATATAATTTGAAGGCATATACGTTCTTTGGGAAGATTAAAAAAACTTTACTGAGTAAATATTCGACGCTGGGATAAGATATGATTTAGTAGCTCCACCTGATGGAAACAATACTGTTGGGATTGGGGTTTAGGGTTATGGTTAGGGGCTAAGGTCAGGGGTTAGGGTTAAAGGTTAGGGTTAGCGGTTGGGGTTTAAGATAGGGGGTTTTAGTTAGGGGTTAAGGTTAAGAGTTAGCACAACTATTTCTCAACCATTGAAAGTACAACCACGCACTCCCAATAGCATTTCTTTTGCATATAACTACTTGACCTCGTCGTCTGTGCGTTCCCCGGCTCCACCCGCAAAACCCCTATTGCTACGGGTTCCGCACTAGAGGTGACTGGGGTTTGTTTACTTCAGGTGGGACTACCAAACCACATCCGACCGACGCTGGTTCCCCAGGTCGTCCTCAGACTTGAGCAAATGTGCAAAAAACAATTAACATTTCAAACGTGCTGAAAAATCGATATCCATTTATATCTATTAAGGTGTTGAAGTCAAAGGCGTTCGTTAGGAAAGGGACGTTAGTGCGCAAATTTTCGACGTCGGTACCCCAGGTCGTCGTCAGACGCAGACTGACAGAAAATGTGCCGACAACAGTTAAAATCCAGCAGTGCACTTGAAAATCGATAATTGTTGGCTTTTGCGTCCGTAAGCGGCCGCTATCAGTGTCATCCTGTCCCCATTGGCTGCGGCCTCTTCCATTTTTCTTCGAGACTTTTGTACGCGACGTCTGACTCGATATGCCGGTTGATGCACGATTCATCCGAGTGCATGGAATCGAGGACCCACCGGCCTTTCTTAAACGGGCAGGCACCAATCGTTCGATCGTGGCGAACGAAGGCGTCCACCGCGTTTCTCACGGAGTGAGTGCAGCGTCTACTGCACTCTCTCACCTGCCTCCGTTGGCAAGACAACATCGGAACGGCTAGAGGTGGGGGCGGACGCAGTGACTGAAAAAATCGAGGCAGTCCATCTACGCCTGCCATGCGCGACCTGGTCAGCGCAAAATGTATTAGGTTTTCCCAATACGAGGTGGGTTGGATAGCGAGGGCGTGAAACTACCATGACGGATCACACTGAGAACGATCGAGTTACTCCATAGTCGTCGTCGTCGTCGTCGTCGTCGTCGTCGTCGTCGTCGTCGTCGTCGTCGTCGTCTTCATCATCATCATCATCATCATCAGCATCATCATCATCACCACCATCATCACCACCACCACCACCACCATCATCATCATCATCATCACCACCACCACCATCATCATCATCATCACCATCATCATCAATTCCTCGTTGATCGGGTTCCTGGTACGTGTGCTCTTTTACAAGTAACTGCAGAGACACTCAGCGCGAGGACAAAATATGCCACATCAGCATTAGTCCAAACACTTACCTACTTTTGCGCTGTCCTTTCCGCCATCCTACCCCATCCATAAAACTCGTATTACACGGTGAACTGGTTTCGTTCCCCGAGTGGGGTCGCATATTGCGTCCTTGCCCCGTTTAGGTCTACATTCAGTGTTAGGTTTGGGGCTAGGTTTAGTGTTAGGTTTCCATTTACGGTTAAGAGTGGGGTTAGGGCTGCGGTTAAAGTTCGGGTCAGGGTTTGGGCTAGGTTTAGTGTTGCTTTTAGAGTTAGCGTTAGGTTTACAATTACAGAGAGTGCCCGATCTCATGAAATGTTGGCCAAAATTCTGAAATGCGTTTTCGATTAGGAAGGATTCATTATCATGCACATAACCCTATGGCATTTTGGACTGACCAGAATGTCGGCTTTGGGATGCTTTCCTTTTTGACCTCTTGCAGAAACCACACTCGGTAAAAAATTACTACTTAAATAGCATACATTCGCCCTATTGATTTCCGATTTTCTAATTCCCGAATAATTTGAGCCTGATCAGCCGCTCCATTAGCGCCTAGTGATTTCAGTCTACAAGATGCATGCGTTCCGCGTAAGGGAAATCATATATTCTTCTGTGCCTTTAAAAACATGCTGTATTGAGTTCATAAAATTGTGCAATGCATGGGGACTATGATGTACAGTTCATGAGGAGCAGTGGTAAATGGACAGGTATGATGCTGTATGAGTGGACATTGCACGGTCTTGAAAAATCTCATAATTATAAACTTTTCTAAAACCGAATTATAGTCTTTCGTCGAGTATAAAATATGAAGATGACCGGATTCACTGTTAAACGAGTGAAAGAAAGAATATTTTTGTTTATGTTTTTCATAACACATATTTGAATTTAAAAGACCATCGAAAATTAATGTGAGAAATGCATGCAATTTATGTAGTAATTTTTTTCTGACTACTGTTTCTACAGGAGATTGAAAAGGGGTGATGTTAAAAGCAGACTTCCTGCCGAGTCCGAAATGCCATACGATTTTGCCCCGGGATAATCAATATTACAACCCCACCTAAGTAATCCTTCCTAATCGCGAACGCATTTCAGAATTTTGGTCAACATTTCATGAGATCGGTTACTCACTGTATGTTAAAGTTTAGGTCTACTTTTTGAGGATTACCGTTAGGGTTGGGATGTTGCTGCCCCATGCATTCTGTCTGCTGGGTCTTTTGCTGGGGTTCCAGACTTCTTTCATTTCCGCGGAAGAATCGCCATACACCAGGTTGCCCTTTTCCGTTTCAGTTTCGCATACTTTCCCACTAACGATTTCAGCATCCAACTTCGGCTTCAATGGCCCCTTTGTGCTCACACTTCGGACCCGGACAACCTACAATTCACACAAAACTCCCTTTAACACACAGACCGCCAATCTCGCACTCCCAAAAGCTTTCACTTCGTTGAAGAAACGACATGGTTTGGCTTATAAATCATTATTTGTTAGCTGAGAGATAAACTTTTGCCCAAAAATCAACACTTCGAAAACCAGTTTTTTACAAGTCCCTCATTCAAGGCTCAGTATAAAAATTAAAAAGGACAAAATCCAGCTTCTGCTGCATTACAAAGGGGTCTCTTGTTGTATTTTAACTTAATTTGGTCAGTGTGAAGAGATTGTCGAAGGGAATGGGGTTCTGGCTGTTGGCGGAAATAAAAATACTTGGCAGGCTGTGTGCGGCGAGGTTAACTGTGGTCCAAAAGCAAGCTTTGTCAGAATCATGCCCACCTGAGCTATTACGGTGTTTATTTTCCGTCGGTGAGTGCCACTGTAACCAAAGGCATCCTCCACAATGCCGATAAACATCTTGCTGTTTTTGGCATCTGTTGTTGAACGGTTGATGGGTTGTTTTCTAAACAGGATGGTTACCTAAATAACCTGACGTCGGCAGTTCTTGAAAGTTTCTACCGCCACGCGTCTTGCCTTCCTTCCATAAAACAGAGTTGAGGCATAGCCTTCTGCTCCCCTAAAGTCATGTAATGAACAAAAATGACAGCACCCCATGCACGCCCATACCATTGGCCAGGGCCTCCGCTATGACATTTAGCGAATTGCGCCATCTGGCCTTTTTGATTATCAAATGCTTTAGTTTGTCCGCCTTCCGCACCCCGATGGCCTGTCAGAATTTTTTGCTCTGCCAGTCCACATAATAACTTTGAGGGGATAAGCGTGTCGTGGAGAGAATGAAGTCCCCTTCCCCTAGCATGAATAGTCCTGCAGTGCGATTATCGCGCACGCGGTGGGCCCAGTCATCCCTGATGTGATGCCCATGAAAATGCCCTTTTAGAGTGCATTGGACAATCCAGACAGACCACAGTGGGGTCCATTTTTCTCACTGGCCTTGCGGAGAACGCATCGACCTGCAAAGTAGGTGGACTTGAAATGTCAGCCTGGTATGGGTAACGTGACCGGCGTTCGACAGGTGTTTTGTCAGCTAGTCTCCGCCAACCTGCTTTTCAACTTTCCACGACGTCTTTGAGCGTGTTTGTCCGACCACGACGGCGACTGCTGTAGGCGACATTTAAAATTATCCTCTTCTGCTCAAATACAGCTCATCTTTCGCGCGGCTAGGAGACCGAGGCGGGCGATAAGAAAGGGGAAGTCGGAGCATGCAAATAAGCCACAGTAGGTGGGCTAACTCATGAAATGTCAACTGAAATTCCGAAGTGCGTTTTCGTTTCGTAAAGATTAATTAAGTAGGGTTGTAAAACTATTCAGTTTGCAACATAATTCTATAATAATTCAGTTACCCCAGGATACCGGCCTTCGAAAGAACTTCGTTCTTACTGCATGCAGAAATTATACTATGTAAAAAATGGCTACTTAATTGGCATGCATTTTTCTCGTTGATTTTCGATGTCTCTAAAAGTCTAATTATATTTCATGGAAAACATGCATGAAAATATTCATTCTTCTGTTCATTCAGTAGAAAATCACGACTTCCAATTTTATACTCAGAGGAAGGGTATGATTCGGTTTTTAAAAACTTTTCCGATTCACGAATCCTTTTGAACCCGCTCTGTCGTCACACATGCATTCAGGGTTTCCAAACTACAAACCGTATATTTTCCGCTTAAGGAAAACCACACATTTCTCTAAGGTATTGAGAGGAGACCATATGGGGTCATGAAATTAGGCATTGGATATGATCCGCATTGCTTACTTTACAAGCCGCATCGGTAAATGCAGAGACATGACGTTTTATGAATGGCCATTTTGCGGTATTAAAAAGTCTTACAATTGGAAACTTTTTTAAAACCGAATTATGTCCCTCCTTCGAGTATCGAATTGAAAAAAAACGTAATTGTCCACCAAATGAACGAAATAAGGAATATTCGTATGCATGTTTTCCATGAAACATAATTGAATCCTAAAGGGCATCGAAAATCAATGAAAAATGCATGCTACTTTAATAGTCACTTTTTACAGAGCACAGTTTTTGCACGCAGCCAGAACGGAATTTTTCGGAAGGCGACATCCGCAGGTAATTGAATTATTATAGAATGGGGATGCATGATGATTAATTTTACAAACCTACTTAATTAATCTTTTTGAAACGAAAATGTATTTCAGAATTTCGATTAACATTTCCTCAGTTAGCCGACCTAATGTACGTATGCCATGCGCGACCTTGTAGAACATTACGTCTTCTTCCAATTTTATACTCGAAGAAAGGGTATAATTCGGTTTTACGAAAGTTTCTAATTGCGAGAATTTTTAATACCGTGAAATTGCCGTTCATAAAACGTCATGTCTCTGCGTTTACCAGTGTTGCTTATAAATTTACCAATATGGCTTAAATCCACCGGTAAAATTTATGAACCACATATGATTTCCTCTTAATACCGAAGGGCAATGTATGGCTTTCTGTAAGCGGAAAATAAATGGCAAGTAAAAGCAGCTCGGATTCATAATTATCCGGGAATTGGAAAAGTTTTAAAAAACCAAGTTATAACCTTTCCTCGAGTATAAAATTGGAAGAGGACGTATTTTTTTACCGAAAGAGTTTTAGAATGAATATTGTGATGCATGTTTCCATGAAATATTGCTGAATTTTAAAGGCATCGAAAATCGATGAGAAAAAAACATGCTACATAAGTAGTCGTTTTTTTACAGAGTTCACTTTTTGCCTGCAGCCGGAAAGAAGTTCATCCATAAGCCGGAATCCTAAAGTAACTGAAATATTATAGAATTATGCTGTGCGATGATTAATTTTACAACCCTACTTAATTAATCTTTTCGAGACGAAAACGCATTTTGGAATTTCGGTTGACATTTCATGAGTTAGTCCACCTACTGTAATTCCCTCTCATGACAGAGTCAGGTGACTGGTAAACGTATCCGCTAGGCAGCTTTCACACATCGTAACCAGTGTTCTACAAATCGCAGCAGTTTTAGAAAGCTAAAAGAGAGACTTCAAAGGTTGGCGATATAATACAATTCTGCCTTAGGTGCTATGCCGTCTTGTTCAGACGTCGGTAAGGCGTTTGACTATGGATGCCAGTACTACAGGTTGCTCCGCGTTCAATTTAAGAAGAGTTAAGGCTATGGGCAATGTTAGAGTTGGGGTTAGGATGTTGGGATCGGTCTAATTGTCGACAAGACCGAGATTCCCAGATCAGAAGTCAGTAAAGACGGATTGGGTTGGACAACTTTGTCGATGAGTAAGAGCTCTGCAAGCAGTCACCGCAGTCTGTCTCATCAGGCAAGTTGTTTAGTCCGTGTCCGCCGTTATTAGCCCCCAGAGCGTGTGTGCGCCCTCCGCTCTGTCAATTCAGGAATGCACACACACCGATCTATTGGCTTCCCGAAGCAAACAATCTCCGTATGGGTGGCAAAAGTCACAAAGAGGCAGCATAATAGCAACGAGGAGGGACGACAGAGAATGCGTGCAGGTAGATGCAGTACAGTTTCGGGCCTACTTTGCCTTCATTCAGCCAATCATAACCCTGACCGGCAGCTGGCACCAGAAACACAAACATGTGCGCGGACGCACCTGGTGCAGCTGGTCCACCAATGAGGTCTACCACACAGGTCATAGGCCCTTTAGTGTCCAGTGCTCCGCCAGCCAATCAGGAAGAGGGCAGCGCTGATTGACTTCGAGCTCTCGCGAGGACAGTGACAAGCCTGGCCCGGTCCCGGCGGCGAATCGACGAAGAGCGTGGGGCAGACAGAAGCGCAGCGGGACAAAGCGGCGGAGAGCAAGTAGGCGCAGACTGCCACAAGGACTCGGAAATAGGTACCCCCTCGGAATTTAGCCTGACGTAAGAAGGTAATGTTCTGACGAACTAACGAGTTATATCTCATGAGCCGTTAGCCTTAAAAGCAGCAAATAAAACTGAACAGTGAATAATATAGAGATTTCGAACGTTAAGAAAACTTGACAACAGAGCACGACGGCAGAGCACGCTAGCAAGGCGGGTTGTACAGGTGTGTGGTTTTCCGTCACATTCGAACAAGCAATCCGGTCAAAGAAAATGGGACTAAATTGTCAAAGGTAAATTAGTCCGGTACCTCACCTTTAAGCCTGTAGTATGGGTCGTCCGTAATCCTGTGTCCGATCCGCATGTCTTCCGAGGGAATGACGTTTAAAGTTCCTGCGTGGTTCGAGGCTTCATGTTCTGTTATATTTATTGGATTGGAGAATAATTTCCCAATTCCGTCTTGTTTTCTGTCATCATATAGCAAAAAATAAAGCAAATCCGTGGCTAGAAATGTCCTTCACAGAAACTGAATGTTTTTTTTGGAGAGAACATACAGATGTCTCTACTTTCAGAAATTATTTAAGTTATGCATTCTGCGATTCCATGGAATAAGCTTACTAGACACTTTGTCGTAAAAAAGATCATAGTCCTGGCTTTTTGCCAGCCATTTCTGGAAGAGAAATAGTTTCTATTCGGTTCGTGAACAGAGGCGTTAAATTAACATAATCCAACTTGTACTTTTCAGATTAGAATCTCCTGCATATCAGGAAAAAATGCCAGTGGAAATTCGAAATCCCACGGTTTTCCACCTTATTGAACTTTGTTACGCTACTTAGGCGATGTTTTAAATCGTAAATCATCATTAGGCGTTCCCATTTTCAGCCGCCAAGAACACGGTTATACTGGCAACCAAACTCCTCTGATGTTTTACTGGCGTTCGTCCTAATTAATTGGACTAATGGAAAATAGTTTACGACACACAAAAAAAACTCTGAGAACTGCGTGTCTAAAGGACATAACAGGAGGGTGAAGTAGTTTCGACAAAATTGTTTTTCCTCACTTGCGTGTAGATTTCACATCGCGTTTTATATCCCATTAATTATTTGGCTGTAAGCCTCAGAAGCTTGTCATCTTGTTTGTGGCTTGTAGGCAACGACCCAACCTCTTCTGCCTGCGTCGCATGCGATTCAGCTCTCGACAGCGTGGCGCCGGGGGGCATTTCGATCTTCCCTGATTGACCGCGCACGGACAGCGTTCAGACGTCGCAGCTGGCACCGGGAATAACAGCATAGGAAGGTCCTCGACATGGTGAAACACCTGATGCCGCCTACCTCTGAGTCACCCGCGTGATCCTCGTCGCAGTCAAAACTGTTCAACAAATTCGCCGATTTTTTATTTGAGAAACCGCTTGCTGATGGCCTTTCGCCTTGACATACTCAATACGAAGAGGTCCGTAGTCAAATCCCCTCTCGTTTAATTGTCCTGTTGCGGACAGCCATCATGGCCGGTCCCGCTGTGTCAAGGTCACCCACCTTCGCGGCGGGCGGCTCCAGACGTGTTTGCCTGCAGCCGATCGACCGACTTCTACACCGGACGCATATGCGCCTGCCCGGAGTCGTAGCTGCCCATGCGCCACTCGAACGCGCCACCACCCCTGCATCCAGCCACTGGGCACCACCGATTGGAGACCACTTGAGCTTGGCCTGCAGGCCTACAAAAAAGGCTGCTGCGACTACAGTTTCAGATATGACTAGACGCTGTCAACACCATCCTTGGATTCGCCAGCGGTCACTGCCGCCTGAGAGGACAAATCTAGGGTTTTGTACACAATAAACTCTTCATTCTGGTGTCTTCTGTCTTCCCCTCTAACATAGGATTTGGCCTGACGATTTTAAGGCGCGGAGTCCACACTCTCACAGCTTAGCCTCTACAGCCCAAAAAAGCCCCTTAAGGGTCGAAAAGGCGTGATAGTTCCACCGTCATTTTCAAAGATATCCACCATGCGCTCCACAGCAAGGCGGAGCAGGGACAGTAACATGTGTGTGAGTTAGTTTAGAGTAATAGTAGAAGTACACAGCATCTACCGAACTCTCTCTTCCCCACTCACCCACTGGACCCGATGTTAAGACATAGTCAAGAAGACCGTAGGTGGTGGGATGACGCAGGCGGCTGGCACGGCCGAAGCCGCACCTAGGCGTGCTACCACAACCCCTGGTCCGCACGACGAATGACCGGGATTTTCCGCCGACAACAACATC